ATTATTGCTGTTTTTAAAGAATGAGATAGAATGTCATGAATCGGTTGCGTTTTTAAATGATAAAAAGACTAACTATAACCATCGAGGTAGCTATAATTTGCGTAACGAGCAAAATAGGTATATAAACAGAAATTTTAATAAAGGCACACCCTCAGCTACTGCGCTTAATGCACAGATGACGCAGTCAATATGCATTTTTTGCTCTGAACCCCATGACGCTTTCAAATGTAATATGTCTTCCCAAAACAAGGTAAAATTATTGAAAAATTCTAATCGTTGTTTCAAGTGTTTTAAATTGTTTCATGTAAGCAAGAATTGTCGTGTAAATAAATTACCTTGTTATAAATGTAAGGGATTAAGTCATCATGGGTCTATTTGTTTGGGAGGTAATAAGGGGATAAATAATGCTAAAGTTAGTAAAATTCAAAACGCTGAGGAAAAGTTAAATGAATCTTCTGATTTGGCTGCAGTTTCTAATGAAACTCCACCATCAAGCATTTCCAATGAGGAAGTTATTAGTTCTGTTTCCCAATGTAATAATAAAAAAATTGAATGTTCTAAAAGGGTTTATTTGCAGACTCGTACTGCTGAAGTTAAATCAGATTCTTCGTCTCAATTGACAAGAATTCTTTTAGATAATGGCAGCCAGCGTTCGTTTTTGTCTGAACGAGTTGCAAATAATTTAAATTTAAAACCGGTTGGTTACGAAGTTTTGTCAGTTTAATCGTTTGGAATGCAAAGAGCAACGGAAAAGGCTTATCCTGTTGTTGAATTCGAAATTTTCAAAAAAAAAAGGAATTTTAGAACTAAAATTAGAACTCTTGTCATACCATGCATTACTGGAGTTAAAGTTGAACCTCCTGACCCCAAAGTAATTGAATTTATGAATAAAAATAAAATTGATATGGCTGATTCTTATTTGGAAGATAATGATAATTTGCTGAGTATAGAACTTTTAATTGGTTCAGATTTATTCTGGGAATTTCTTTTATATGAAAAGATATCTATAAATAATCGCCTGTGTGCAATAAAAACTGTTCTTGGATGGGTGATTAGTGGAAGTAGTTATAAAAGGGAGCATACATTGTCACAAAACATAGCGGTTATGAAGCGGTTATTTAAGAAAATTCTGGTCACTCGATTCCTTAGGTATTACCAAGGAGTGTGAAATTTTATCTCTAAAAGATAAAGAAACAATTTATAAATTTGAAAGCAATTTAAAATATGAAAACAATCGTTATAAAACCGGATTACTTTGGAATTCAAATCCCGATGATCTTGATAGTAATTTCTCTATTGCCAAAAAACGGTTTGATAATTTAATAATAAAATTATGTAAAAATAAAAATATTTTTGACATGTATGCAAATATTATTGAGGATCAGATAAGAGATGGAATCGTTGAGGAATGTAAAGATAAATCCGTTAATTCTGGTTATTTCATGCCGCATACAGCTGTTTTAAGACCCGATAAAGAAACATCCCGTGTTCGTATCGTTTTCGATGCTAGTTCGAAGGATATTGGTTTAAAATCCCTTAATGATATGTTATTGTCAGGTCCAAATTTGAACCCGAATATTTTGGATGTCATACTAAATTTTCGAAAGCATGAAATTGCATTTTCTGGTGATATTGAGAAGGCGTTTTTAATGATAGACATAGATGAAAATGAGCGCAAATGTTTAAAATTTATTTGGATTGATTATGATAATTGCGAAGGTTTTAAAATTATGAATATGAAAAGGTTACCGTTCGGAGTTACCACTTCCCCTTTCATTTTGAAGGCAATAATAAAGTACCACATTAAAAAATATGCCAATGACAAACCCGATTGTGTTAAAATGTTAAATTCTTCGTTACACGTGGACGATCTGTACTGGGGAACTGATACAGTTAATGATGCATATCGACTGTCATCTGATGCTGTAAATATTTTGCAATCCGCGAGTATGAATTTGCGGAGATGTAATTCTAATTCAAACGAATTAAAGAAATTATGGAATCAAAATGGTATTGCCATTAATGATTCAATTGCACATGCAAAGGTGTTAGGTCTTCGATGGGACACAGAAAATGATGTACTGTTGATTGAATAAAAAAATTTAGAGCAGTCATCATCTAAGTCAATCCAGTGCACCAAGCGTACTGTTTTAAAATTTGCTGCTCCAATTTATGATCCTATCGGTTTAATTTCTCCCTTCGTTATTAAGATGAAAATTTTGCTGCAAAACATTTGGAAGGCTGGGCTCGATTGGGATGACCCTCTGCCTTTAGATATTGAAACAGACTTTAACAGTTGGATTTCTGAAGTTCCTTATTTAAAGAACTTTTTTATGGAGCGGAAATATTTTGATAACTGTGATAATAAGAAAGAAATTGCCGTTCATATTTTTACTGATGCTAGCACAAAGGCCTATGGTGCTGTAGCGTATTTCAGATATGCAAATATTTCGAACGAAGTTAAGACCTCATTCATTATGTCCAAAAGTAGGGTAGCACCAATCAAGACTTTAACATTGCCCCGCTTAGAGCTTATGTCAGCGGTTATTGGTGCTAGAATCTATGATTATTTACACAAATTGTTTAGTGACATTTGCCAACAATTTTATTTGTGGACAGATTCACAAATTACATATTTTTGGATAAAGAATAACAACTCTTTGAAACCCTTCGTGCAAAACAGAGTGTCTGAAATTCAAACTCTGACAGATCCTAAACTTTGGCAACACTGTCCAGGAAGTTCAAATCCTGCTGATAAATTAACTCGAGGAGAATCACTAAAAAGCCTTGTTGATGATAACTTATGGAAATTCGGGCCATCTTGGCTCATAGAGGATGAAAGTAAGTGGCCTCAAGAAAATACTGAAATTAATCATCAGCAGCATTCAGTTGATTTAGAACTTAGAAACAGCGTTATTTCTCAACACAGTTGCCTCACAGATTCTAAAGAGACTTTACTGATTTTAGAAAATTACAGTTCTTTATTAAAGGTGAAAAGAATTGTGGCTTGGTCAAAGCGGTTTATCCAAAACTGTCGAAATTATGACAAACTGAAAGGTCCATTAACTACTGAAGAATTGAAAGAAGCCAAAGTTATTTTAATAAAGGAGGAGCAAAATAACTATTATGAAGAAGAAATTAAAACTTTGATGAAGAAGGAAGATATAAAAAATAACTCCATCATATTTTGTCTTCGTTCATACCTAGATGAAAAACAGATATTAAGAATTTGCAGTAGACTGTTTCAATCTGAAGTGGATCCTGAAGCAATTAATCCTATACTGCTACCCAAGAATTCGAAAATTTCCGAGCTTTTGATCACTGAAAAACATAAAAAGTTGCTTCATAGTGGAGTTAATGTCACTCTTTCGCAGATAAGAAAAAGTTATTGGATTCCACAAGCCAGACAACTTGTGAAAAGAATAATTGGAAGATGCGTGATTTGCAGAAAACACTTTGCGAAACCAGCCAGAGTACTGGAGAGCTGCCTAAAGATAGAATTTCAGAGTCTCCACCTTTCTCAGTGGTTGGAATTGATTTTACTGGGCTTATTTACGTAAAACATAAAGATGAAGTTTTGAAATCTTATATTACTGTGTTTACTTGTGCAGTCACACGGGCTGTACATATAGAACTGATTTCCGATTTGTCTACGAATAAATTTATCTTAGCTTTACGACGCTTCATGTCAAGAAGAAATAACTGTAAAACTATTTATTCTGATAACGCAGCAACTTTTAAGGCTGCTTCAAGAGATATAAGGTACTTCTTTTCTATTATTAGAGGAGATGAATTTCAAAATTTCATTTCTTCTGAAGGTATTGCATGGAAGTTTATTGTTGGGCTTGCCCCATGGTGGGGAGGATTTTATGAACGGTTGATGAGAAGCATTAAAGAACCTCTTAAAAAGATGATTAACATTCTAATGATATTTTAATAATTTACTATTCCTTTAAATTTGATGCTTCAAATTATATTTTACTGTCTTATAATTGATTAGTGTTTATTTTAATATTTTAATTTTAATATGTAACGTGTTTAAATAATGTTTGATATAATGTAGAATTATTGTTTTGCTATTGTATATTATTTTGTGATAATTTTTACTTTAAAATTATCAGGTGGGGAGTGTTGAGAAATGTAGATGTAAATTTAATTAATTTGAAATCTCCCCACCAGAGGGCTGATAATCAGTCTACATTGAACCACCAAGCAGTAAGCATTGGCTTGAATTAATTGTCTTCTAATGTATAACTTTATAATCTGAAGGGTTCCACTCTAATAATATGGAACTCGTTTTTGTTTAAATAAATATTTGTTATTGTTTTCGATATTGATTGCCCTCCCCTTCTTGTACAGCTTCCACAGTAAGCACAGATAACATCCATTCCTTGCCCGGGATTTGAACCCAGAACTTTTCCGATGCCAAGGCCAGTTCCAGTGACTCATACACAGTGCTTTCGAACATTATTCAAAATGCAAGTGTTTTTTTTTTAAACATATCAAGATTGATATCTTTAAAAAATTGTTTATCCAAAAATCTATCTTGATCATTTCTTCATTTATCTTTTATCTAAATTTCAAACTTTAATAACACAAATTTTTTTTTTATCCGAAAGTGTTATCTGTCAAAATGAAAAAAAAAAAAAATCACTAATATTTCTATTTATGAGTATTCTGATTTTTTTTTCACCTTTTGTTTCAACGGCGATATCAAATTTTGTTATCAATTCACATATCATCTATGCCTTTCTAAACTGACACGCAATAGTTTGTTTACGTTCCAAGGTTTATTGAAACATATCCATTAACCTAATACCACTTTTATTTAGTGTCATTAAATAAGGTCTGAAAAGACAAATAGTGTGTTGTTGAGACCAATCTTTAATGCTTTTTTTCATATTTCTATCGCAAATAATGTAATATTATAAATGAAGATTGTATTTCATGCATATTCATCAAATCATGGCTATTTTCAATTTTTGAATCAAGATCTTGTGTACATACGCATTCATCTATTTTTTATGCTCGTTTTCATATTTCTATCGCAAATAATGTAATATTATAAATTAAGATTGTATGTAAATCATGGCTGTTTACAACTTTTCATTGGCAATTTATGTAAATCACCGCTCAAGTCAGTATATACTTCAAATCATGTTTATATTCTTGTAAGTGTTACCACAATGTCACAAAAACAAAATGTCTTATTCACTGTATAATTTTCATGATGTATGGGGTAGGTACCGAATTTGAGTTAAATAAAATTTAAAAAAAAGTGTGCTGTTGAGAGGGTAGATTCCAGCCTTAGACGTCGTGAGAGAAGGTTCCTCTCTAACCGGTCTCTCACAAGAAGCGATCCTGCGCAAATACCCCGTATTTTATGCGGACTTTGTGGCGAAGCAGACGATAGGGTGCGGTGGCGTGACTTGTTGATAACCTGAATGCTCTGAATTGAGAGTAGGACGTTCAGTGTTTACAACTTCGTGCTCCTGTTCCAGATGCATGTAATCGTTCCGAATTGAGAGTAAGACGTTACATTGTATTCAACTTTTTATTTTATTTGATGACTCCTCAGGTTAGTATTGATCTACTCGTGGTGGAAACCTAAAGCCCTCCATAGCTTACCGGTATCAACCAAGCCACGAGTCGGTGTTTGCTTTTCTCTGTAGATCTGACCAGAGATACGGGTCCCACCTCGTGATTTAGCACTACCGAAAGGTCCTTTACAGGACCATAATATCATGGCTACTTCCGAGTGTCCCATGGACGCGGAAAATGTTTGTGTTAGTAATAGCGCTCTTAATCACGATGTAGTTGAAATTTCCCAACCCGAAAAAATCATTCCGGGATTAACTATCGCTAATTCGGATAAACCGAATAAAAAGAAAAGACGAAAAAATTGCAATAAAAATAAAACACAGTCCACCGATGACGACTGCACCGACCTAGATTCGGATTCTCCGACAGTCCAAAATCACGAATCCGCTACAGCCATTAATGATGTAGCGTTAGCGTTCGAGAATATGATCATTCATACTTTAGCATTATTAAAAAATGCCGCCTCATTTGCTGATAACGGTCAGTCATAAAATTTCAAAAAACATAGACAAAATTAAGACTAGTTTCAATAATTTTCGACAAGAGCATCATGCAATCAAAAATAAAATAGTCAACGAAACTAAGCTTTTTAGCGAATTATCAAACACAACCGCTAAAAAATTAGATGAATATGCTAAGGATCACCAAGAGCAATTTATGTCTTTTACATTAGATAATGATAACCAAACACATGATAACATCATGGTCACAGAGTTCCCTGATACTCTAAATCAAAATAACAGAGACAGCAATTTCTCCATTTCAAAAACAAAGAGATTCAAGGCCACCCCATTCTCCTCAACCAGGGTAGTCCAAGATAACAACGTTAACCCCGATCCAGAAGACGGGTTTACTATTCAGAACAAGAAATCAACCAAAATCCCACCTATCGTCATTAAAGACGAAAAATTTGACGAACTGTTGAAAGAAAATAACATTGATAACAGCCAAAAATAATGGTGACTACTTTACCCTAAAAACTAATAAATTGCAAGACCGATGCCAAATTGTAACCTTGTTAAAAAACAAGAATATCGCTTACCACACCTACAGCCTCCCAGATGAGCGCATCTTCAGAGTAGTACTGAAAGGAATCCCAAAAACATTTACTGGACATGAAGTTCAGGAAGAAATTACAAAAGAAGGTATACCAGTTGAGAATGTCACGCAAATGTTCAGAAGAAACAATGGCAATAAAACACATACGTTGTGACTCTTAACAGAAACTGTGAAAAAAGCGAAGAAATATATGATATCAAATTCCTATTCAGGATTAAAGTCAAATTCGAAGAATACAGAAAATTAGACCGCCCTTCGTAGTGTCACCGCTGGCAGGATTTCTTCCATGGCCAGCGGCTCTGCAACCATCCCCCTCGGTGCGTGAAGTGTGCGGGCGATCATAGCACAAGTGATTGCACGAAAGAACAAAATGAGTCTGCCAAATGCTATAATTGTGGGGGCGAGCATTCTGCAAATTACACAGGATGTCCCAAAT